GTTTGTAAGTTTGTGAAACTTCTGTTTATAAATCATTGTTTGTAATAACTATTTGTAATTATTGTTATTGTAAATTGTACTGTTGTGTTTATATTAAAATGCATTTGTGTTAAAAAAGAAAACTGTGTATCAATCTTGTTGCCAACTAGTACAAACAGACTATATATTGGCATTTATTTAAATAATAAATCCAAAATACAATTTAACTACTAAATTTCAATTTATTAGTTAACTCAATTTCAGGCTATTTCAAATTCTAATACGTAACAACAGAAACAATTCTACTTACTGGGCACATATTTTCCATGTGATTGAGCCAGCATTAGTCAGTAGGTATGAAGGAGGGGTTATTTTGACTTCAAATTTGGGCAAGACTATAAAACAAAGTTAAAAACCCATTAGTTCTTAAATTATTCCAACACATTTTAGGAAAATATAGTAAAATATTTTTTAAGGTTCAAGTATATTTTGCGATGAAAAAAAAGTGGAATGAAAGAATATCTGATGAAGAAATACAAAATCAGTAAATCATATTTTGCTTCAAACAGAACAAAAGTTAGTTTTCTTGAACTATCATATTGGAATATTTTAAGATATCTTCAGGTTATGTGATCTAGAGCAAGTTTTGTTCATGAAAAGAAAAATATGGAAAAATTCAAGGTTTGGATTCATGTTTATGTAATGGGTTTTCCTTTCAAATCAACAAATCATGCATCATTTGTATGAAACTTACTAGTTTAGCATTATTATATTAACAACTAGTGTTACATCACTATCTGTTTTAAGTTTGTAATGATTTACTGCTGAAAATTTGATTGCAAACACAAGATTTTTTAAGCTACAATATTTACTACATTAATATTATTAATTTTTCTTTTGTCAATTACACTTTGTTAAGTATTTAAATAGATTATAAATTAATTATACTTTTGTGAACAAACTTAAATCAGGCTTCTGTATAGAATGTAACTGGCTTGTTCCAATTGTGCAACACATTAACACCAAGTAGAAAGCTGACACATTATAACTTCACATTTACTAGTGTAATAAAGTACTACAATTGGCTATTATTGATGTTATAGTTAATAATTTATACTGTGCTAGAATAAATGAAGAACAAAATATATTCAACAAACTGTCATATAATTACTTTGGTTTATGAAGCTATTTCAACTGTAAAAGTAAATTTTATATTCAATTAAGGAAAGGACTTTTATTAGTTTGAATTTTAACCTTCAATAACCAAAATGTGATAAATTATTTAAATCAAATATGTAAATGCTTTTGTGCAACCAACAATAAAATTATTAAATTTATGACAAATAAGAAAAGGGATCACCATAACCTTATGATTGACAAATATAGAATGATAACACACACAGAGCTATTAAAAAAAAACATAATCTCTAAGGGCTAGTTCTATAAGAGAACATGTAAAAATAATTTGGTATTACAGTAAGTTAAGCCACTTTTATTCTTGGATCATGTGGTGAGCCTTCTACTGTAACTTAATTTATTCCCTGCTCTTTCCTGTATTAATAATAATTACAATCATCTTGTATTTGTTATTAATTTCTGTCCAAAGCTACTTTAATTGAAATACTTGTAAACTTAGTTACACAAACTCCTTTGATTTGTACTAATGAAATTTATGCATAAGCTTATGCAAAAACATTAGAATATGACAAATCCTCCCTTAGAAGGAAATGATAAGGAAAATTTAACAGCTTCATCATTTTTAAAAACAACATAAAACCATGCACAAAATGATTCTGCACTCAGTAAACATAACCACTCAGGAAAATATTGCATAAGAATAGCTAGAGTTACTTGATTCAATGAAGATGAGCAACGTGTCTAATAAATGGAAGAATTAATTAAATATCCAATCTAGGATAAGCAAGAAATAGTCTTAACCAGTTTAATACTTTGTGTGAACTTAGAAATGCAAGAATTTACAAATATTGTCCAGTATGTATGAATGTACAACCCTCTAAAATGTTTTTTACAAATAACACTGTTCTGAAAATATGAATGTTGGTTGTATTGTACAATACATTTTTTCTGTCTTTCAATAAGATGTGGGTCAAATATCAGTACCTCTGAATTAATTATTATGGTATAGAACATTAAGTCTAGAAGTATCAATGGCTTTTATGCGGATCCTATCTACTTTTGAAATAAATATTTTTTTTTTATGAATCCATGATATACCACAAGAAATATCTTCATTTTTGCAATTAACTACACTGATCATTTCTAGGATTCATATATTTTTACATAGGAAATGAATATCTTTATCCAAATGTCTTAGCTATTTCTACTGAACATTTTAACAGCCAAAACAAACAATTACTTAAAATGATGCAATATGTGAATCCCATTGGTTCTGAATACTATACAGATAATTTGTTCATTTGAGGATTAAAGTGCTGATCAGTTTACAAACCTTTTACTTTAATAAAAATTTAACAAATTCATAATTTTACTCCTATTAAATAAATGAAAATGTTGACATTATTAAGCAGGCTTAAACAATGAAAGAAAAGGAAAACTTAAAA